CCTGTGAGCTGTGCCCTCTGTGCTTGATACTGTGTCTTTTGCAAAACTTTCGAAACATACTCCCTCCCCTCCTTTTAGCCTTTTCTGGAAATCAGGCTGCCTTGAAATCCCAAGAGTCAGAGCTAAAAATTCATTACTCATGCCCTTTTCCCCAGCTGGGGCTGAAGGCCAGGGGAGGGGCAATAAATGGAGAGAAGGTTTTGCTGAGCAGGGCAGTCTTGCAAGGAGGCTGTGAGCTGTAGGTAAGAAATTTTTTGTTGTTCCTGGAAAGCAGGTGAGGTAGGACTTGGCGGAGTTTTGCTAAGGACTGGTAGTGAGGCTAGAGTACAGTGAGTCTGGGTAGTGCTGAAGAGGAGAGGACTTGCTGGCCTCTCCAGGGATTAGCATGTTAGGAGAAGTGATTTTACCTGACTGGAGGTTATTCGAAAGGGAAATTTCTTCTGTGATTATTTCTTGAGTCCCTTAGTTTAAGTCAAGCCCTGACTGCAGTAGGAGTTGGAAAATAAGGGCTGGCCAGCAGGCACTAAGAGGCTAAACCTGAAATGGACACTGAGGTGCAATTGACCAGGAAGGACAGGATGAAAGGGTTATTCTGTGAACCATTTACCTTTCTCAAGAGGGAACAATGAAATCATGGCTCCAAGGCTCTGGACATTTAGCTCTGGGCCAATGGGAGGACATTGAAGGCCGAAGGAATCACCTGAACAAAGTCTTAGAGCTTGGAAGAGTTTGAGAAGAGAGTTCAGGAGAAAAAAATGATAGGTGAGATGAGGTCTCTCAGGCTAGGTCCATGCTGTACAGTGTGGTCACCATTATCCACAAGTACAAGGGCTACTGCAATTGAAAAGAAAAGTAAAAAAAAAATCATCTCCTTAGTCACACTAGTCAACTTTCAAGTTCTTAATTGCCACATGGGGCTAGAAGCTATGATATGGGAGAATATTTCCATCACTGCAGAAATTCCTCTAGGTCACTGGAAAGCTTTGGGAGGTGTTCCTTGCTCATGGACTTATGGGACGGATCCGGCTCATACCAGGCTGCTGAGCAGAGACATGGCGAGGTCTCTGGAGTGTAGGTGTTGGCTGAGGGGGTGTTAATTGTCTAGTACTGCTAGATAATTGGGTATTACCATAAATGAGTGGCTTTGCCAAACAGAAATATATCCCCTCACAGTTTAGGAGGTTAGATGTTTGAATTCAGGGTTCTAGCTCTAGAGAGCTCTGGTAGTCTAGAGGGAAGGAGCTGTGCTGCCATGTCCACGAGAGAAAGATTAGCAATTTCCTCCCATGCAAACCCACTATGGGTCAGCTATGGGTTGATTCTGACTCAATAGAACACAACAACAACTGCTCTAGGCAAAGATTTTGGCGCTGTTGACTCTGGGGAAAGGTCCTGGCCTATTCTGAGCTCCTCTGTTCCTAGCAATCTTCATGTGGCTTGTCATCTTCCCCCCACCCCCCATCCCTGCTTGCTTAATTTCTTTAATGTCTCCAGAGATTGACTCAAAGCATACCCAGCACAAATTCTGTCTCATTAGTATAGCAGAGAGAATTCATTCTCAAATGAGATAATAACCACAGGCATATAGGTAACCATTGAGTTTCCCACATGATTCATATCAAACCTCTGAACAAGATATCTGAACCTTGCCCTACCCTGAGCCGTCCTATGATCTCTGATATGCTTGGGCCCACTGACACAATCTCTGTGTCAATCCATCTTGCTGGATCCATCTCCACCTTTCCCAGCATGGTGTTCCCTTCCAAGGACTGGCCACTCCTGACAATATGTTCGAAGTGTGTGAGATGAAGTTTCACTGTCTTTACCTCTAAGGAATACACTGGTTGCACTTCCTCTAAGACAGACTTGTTTATTCGTTTGATGATGCATAGGATATTCAGTATTGTTCTCCAATACCACAACACAAAGGTACCAGTTCTTCTTATGTTATCTTTATTCATTGTTCAACTTTCAGATACATAGAAAGTAATTGAAATGATCATGGCTCGGATCAGGTGAACTTTAGTCTTTAATTGTTTGGAGAGGTCCGTGACAGCGGATCTTCTGTGTGTAACATGTCTTTTGATTTCATGACTGCTGTTACCATGGATGTTGATTGTGGATCCAAATAAAATGAAATAACTGACATTGTCAATCTTTTCTCCTTCTATCATGATGTTACCTATTGATCCAATAGTAAGGGCTTTTATTTTCTTAATGTTGAGCTGTAATCCATATTGAAGGCTGTTGTATTTGATCTTCTGCAGCAAGTGTTTCAAGTCCTCTTCACATTCAGCAAGGAAGGTTGTGTCATTTACATACCACAAGTTGTTGCTTTAACCTTCTTCATATAGCCCACCTTCTTGAATGATTTTCTCAGTGTATAGAATGAATAGATATGGAGGAAAGGATACGCCCCTGACACACACTTTTCTTGAACCTCTGCGTTGTTTGAACAACAGCTTCTTGGTCTAGGTACAAGTTTCACAGGAGTACAGTTAAGTGTCCAGGGATTCCCATTCTTCTCAATATTACTCATAATTTGTTATGATCCACACAAACATTTAGACATCTTTGCATAGTCAATAAAACACAAGTAAACATCTTTCTGTTATTTTCTGCTTTCAGTCAAGATCTTTATGACACCAGGATTGATATCTCTTCTATGACTTCTTCTGAATCCAACTTTAATTTCTGATATTTCTGTGTAATGTACTGTTTCAGCAGTTTTTAAATAGTATTCAGCAAAATTTTATTTACACATGATATTAAGACACTGTTTGATAATTTCCACATTCTATTGGATCATCTTTTTTGAGAATGGGAATAAAAAATGGATCTCTTTCAGTCAGATGGTCAGGTCTTCCAGATTTCTTGGCATAGACTAGTGAGCACATCCAGGGCTGCATCTGCTTGTTGAAACATGTCAACTAGTATTCTATCAGTTCCTGGGGTTTCCCCCACCCCATCCCAATATCTACCTTCAATGCACCTTGAACTTCTTCTTTCATCACTATTGGCTTTTGATAATATGCCAGTTGCTTAAATGGTTCAATGTCCCCCCATTCTTTTTGGTACTGTGATTCTGTGTATTCCTCCCATATTCTTTTGGTGTTTTCTGCTTCATTCAAGATTTGCCCATAGCATTTTAATGCTGAAAATTGAGGCTTGAATTTGTTTCTCAGTTCTTTCAGTTTGAGCAATGAGTTCTTCCTTTTTTATTTTATAACTCCAGAACTTTGCACATTCTGTTATAATACTTTGCTTTGTCTTCTCAAGTTGTCCTTTGAAATTCTCTGCCCAGTTCTTTTCTTCTGCATCTCTTCTCTTTATTTTGGCCTCTCAACATTTTTGTGCAATTTGCAGAGTGCCTTCTGACATCCACTTTTGTCTTTTCTTTTTCCTCTGTCTTTGTAATGACCTTTTTTGTTTTCTTCATGATATCCTTGATGTTATCTCATAACTTATCTGGTCTTCAGTCATTATTGGTCAATGTATCACACCTATTCTTAAAGTAGCTTTTAAATTAAGGTGAAATAGACTCAAGATCATATTTTGGTTCTTGTGGATTTATTTTCATTTTCTTCAAATTCAAATTTGACTTGCATATGAGTAATTGATGTTCTGTTCCATAGTAAGGCTCTCACCTTTTTTTGACCTTTAGTACTGAGCTTCCTTATTCACTTCCTCCCCGCCAGATATAGTCAATTTGATTCCTTTGTAGTGCACTATGTGAAGTTCATTTATATAGTCACTGTTTTTGTTATTTAAAAAAAGACATTTTCAGTGAATAAGTAAATTGATTGTACTAAATTCTATCACACATTTCCAGCCTCATTTCTGTCACCAAGTCTGTGATTACCAGTCTGTTTGTATTTCCAATTTTGCATTCCAGTCACCAGTTATTGACATTTTTAGTAATGCCTTTTGATTGCATTATCTATCAATTTCAGATGGAAAAAGTTGGTAGAAGTCCTCAATTTAAAAATCTTTGGCTTTAGTTGTTAGTGAGTATATTTGAATAATTATTATTAAAATTTTTATTATTATTGGATTATAGGTCTTTCTTGTATGTACGTGGATAATATACTACCACTCACAATATTATGCTTCAGAATAGATCTTGAAATGTTCTATTGGCTGTGAATGCAACTCCATTCTTCCTCATTTGGTCATTCCTGCCATAATAGATCATAGGATTATCTGATTCAAAGTGCCAATACCAGTCTATCTCAGCTCACTAATGCCTTCAATATTTATATGTTCCATTTCATTTTGACAACTTTTTATTTTCTGTGGTTCATATTTGTAGATTTCAAGTTCCAATTGGTTTTTTATATTAAACTGTTTGAAAATATGGAAAACTCCATGATTTAACATGTCATCCTTGTGCAGAGGCCATGCTAATCTTCTCTGTATCGTTCCAGTTTTAGTATATGTGTTGTCAAAGTGAACACTCAAGTTCCAATTATTAATGGATATTTACAACTATTTCTTCTCTTTTTTCAGTGTCTTCCAAATATTATCCAAAAGCATAGGGGTTAGTATTTTGAGAACACACAATTCAATCTATAACAAGTTATGTGACTCATTTCTGCCTGGGCTGGGCTACCTCCTGCCAGCACAGTGCGGACTCTGTCCCCTGGGACAACAACTAACTAGATAGGGCCTCTTCAGCCCTGACTTTGGCTTCCTGATCTGTGTGACAAGAGCCAGAGTCAGAGAAACATGGCGTGAGTGGGGTTGCGGGGGAGGAGTGGCAGCTGAGAGGGCTTGAGGATGCCAGGGTGGTCTTTGGTTTGGTCATAGCTGGTGTGCATGGGAGTTTGGAAAGGAGAAAGATGGAGAAAGTGTATGTGAGGGTGAAAAGGACCCAGAGAGGAAACTTTCTGGATGGAAGTGTGGTCATATGTGGCCAAGGATGAGAGAGAACCCTCCTACCCACCCTAAGGAGCTGTTTCTTCCTTCTTTCCAGGTTCAAATCAATTCAGTTGACGAGGATGGAATACGCCATGAAATCCCTCAGCCTTCTCAGTCCCAAGTCCATATCCAGGTGAGGAGAATCAAGATGGCAGAGGGGCAATGGAGAGGGAATGAGGAAAATCAAGAAGAGGCTGAAATGCCCATGAGCTACTGAAAAGGCCTTCTCAAAATTTAATATCAAATAGGTCACCTGGGGGTCTTGTTAAAAATGTAGGATCCAGTCCAGGAGGTCTTGTGTGGGACCTGAGCTTCTGCATTTCTGACAAGTTCCAACTGAGTCTAATGCTATTGGACCCCAGCCAAACACATTCCGTAGACAGGATCTAGACATTATGCTTAATACTTTCATTCTTTTTTTTTTAAATTTTTATTGTATTATTTTTACGTGTACCGTCAAATCAGATCTGACTGGTACAGGAGAAGATTGCCCCCACCTTCTCCAGCAGAGCATCTGGTGGATTTGAACTGTGTACCACTGGGATTGCAGTGCAGCGTCTTGCCACTAGGCCACCAGAGCTCCCTAATACTTTCATTCTTGATCTCATTAAGCCTCACCACAATTTTGAGAAATGACAATTGTTGTGCTAAATTAATAGATGAGGAAATTGAGGCTCAAACACCATGCTAATCGATCAATAGGGGGATCAAGATTTGAGCCTGGACTTGCCAGCCTGACTTCAAATCTTGTCTGTCTTAGAGCTCACAAATACCTTAAACTGACTTCGCGTCACCTCACTTTATTCCAAGCTACAGTTAAAAAGAGTAAGGCCACTAAACAAAAACCAATACAAATCCAACTGAGGTATGGGGGATGGGTCTTCTATCATTTTGCTATTTGTCAAGTCTTGTTAGAAATGTAGATTCTTAGGCTCCACCCTAAACATGCTGACTCTGCATTCTAACAAGATCTCTAGCTGATTTTACATGCACACTGAATTTTGAAGTATATTTGTCTAGCTTAAGGATTTTGTGCAAGAACATTCAGGGCAGTCTTGGTGGGCTGCGCAGACGAGCGCCACCTAGAGGTCACCGGGAGTCAGGCCTACTGGAAGAGCCCCAGGGTGCAATGTGCTGCGGAGGAAGGGCTGGGAGGCTGCCCACTCACCCTGATGTTCCAAACCGCCCCCAGGTATATGACAGTGAGTACCTCTGTGGTGACCCAGCAGCTGCTGTCGGAGCCCAGCCCCGAGATGGCTAGGGCCCGGCCCTACCGAGTTAGCAACGCCGCAAGGAGCGTCCGCAAGGGCATTGTGGCCTCCAGCCTCGAGGACCTCCTTCACAAGGTGAGGGTGGCCGCTCCTGGCCGACTGACTACTGAGGCCTGCGCTGAGCAGGGTCCCAGCAGGAATTCAGCAGAAACGATGTTCCTGTTTGTGGGTGAGTTGGAGAGATGGGTTCGCTGCCAGTCTGGTGGAGTGTCCAGTTTTTGTGATGCCAGCCTGGGGAGAAAGGATGACTGTATTTTGCCATTTGCCACTAACAGTTCATCAGCTATTTTCAGAGCATATTCTTCTTGCTGTTACGTTCCCTTTCCCAGTAATTCTTTAAGTGCCTTGAAGTTGGGGAACTGAACTGTATTTTAGAAAATCCCTTTTCCAGCTCCTGAAACGTGCTAAATCCAGAGTTCTCTTTATCTCCACCACTCCCTAATATTTCCTGCGAGAGGATGAACTAAGGCTCATGTAAATAAGTGAACACACAGACACTTAGGAACAATCTAACAAAATAAGTGAAAAAAGGTTTACAAAGGTAATGCAAATGAGGCACGGATGGTGAAAGAGATCATGGGAAAGTTAGACAGAAAGAGAGAAACTTTTCTGGAAAGTCAGAGGTGGGCCATTGGCCCATTGCCAACAAAAGAGAGAAACTAAAGAAACCAGAGCCATGACTTAAACAGATGTCAGCACACACATGTGTTTTGCTGTTACTCACAACAGCAAAAAGATGGAAGTAACCCAAGTGCCCATCAATAAATGAATGGGTAGAAAAACTATGGTACATTCACACAATGGAATGTTATGGAACATTTAAAAACAATGAACTTGTAAAACATTAAACAATATGGGGGGGAGTCTAGAGGACACTATGCTGTGTGAAATATCTCAGACACAAAAGGACAAATACTGCATAACACCACTGTTATAAAACAGGACTGATTCAGGAAGTTGAAGAGAGAATAAGAAAAGAGTGGATAAATATTGAACACTATTGGAACAGATGAGGGGAAGAATTGTCTGAAATGACAGTTGATTAGGCATTTGATGTACAACAATGATCTAGAACAAAAAGGGCATTGAAAAGTGGACTGGGGGAGAGAGGAAAATGTGCAACAGTGAAGGAAAATCCAACCTTTCTGTAAACTTTCATTAAAATAACAAAAATATTTTTTAAAAGAAGATGAACAAAGAACATAAGATTAAAAATTATTTTAATGTAAAAAAAGATGGAAGGAATATACAGAGTCATTATGTAAACAAACAATTGACCAATACTGAACAGAGGAGGACTTGAAGTATTTGCTGCAGAAGGTCAGGGACTGTAGTCTTCAGTATGGATTGAAGCTCAACATCAAGAAGACAAAGATTCTCACCACTGGGCCATTTGGCAGCACCATAATGGATGGAGAACAGTTTGATGTTGTTAACAATTTTAGCTTGCCTGACTCCACAATCAACACTCTTGACACCAGCAGTCAGGAAATCAAAAGATGAATTGTATTGGGGAAATCTGCTGTCAGGGTGCTGAGGAGCAATGATGCCAGTTTAGAGACTAAGGTGCACCTGCTCCAGGCCATGATCTTCACAATTACTGCTATGCTTCAGAGAGCTGGACAATGACTAAGGTTGACAGAAGAAGAATTGATGCCTTTGAGTTGTGGTGCTGGAGAAGAATATTGAACATACCCATGGACTACCAGGAGAACAGATAGTTCTGTCTTGGAGAGGTTGAAACCAAATTTTTCCTTTGAGGCAAGGATTTTGAAGCTCTGTCTCACATTCTTTGGGCACCTGACTTGGTGGGACCAGTCCTTGGGGAGGGACTTAATGCTTGCAAGTGTGGAGGGACAGTGCAGGAAAGGAAAACCCTGGATGAGATAGACTGGCATAGTAACTGGGGCAATGGGATTAGGTGTGTTGGAGTCAGTGAGACTGGCTCAAGACAGGGTAGGGTTCAGAGATAGTATACATGGGTCACTGTGAGTCATGGGTGACTTGGTGACACATAACAACAACAACAACAACCATATAATCAAGAGCCAGGGGTAATAACAGAGAAAGTTTAAGCTGCACTGAAGCTGCATGGGAAAAATAAGACCTCAGGAATCAATAGGATACCAACTGACATGATTCAAATGACATGTAACCCTGAATGTGCTCACCAGTCTATGCTAGGAAATTTGAAAGATATACCTGACCAACTGACTGGAAGAGATCCATATTTGTTCCCATTCCTGAAAAAAAGGTGATCAAACAAACAGAATGTGGACATTATTGAACAATATTACTAGTATTGCTGCAAGTAAAATCTTACTGAAGATTTTCCAAAAATGGCAATAACAGTATGTTGACAGAGAACTGTCAGAAATTCAAGCTGGCTTTAGAAGAGTACCCACAGGGATATCATTGCTGATGTCAGATGAATCTTGGCTGAAAGCAGAGACTATGAAAAGAATGTCTGTCTATTTGTGTTTTTTTAAAATACTGATTTATTTACAAAGTTTGAATTCATTGTTTTTCACAAAAGATCCTTTTCATTTCCTTAACCCCCACCATCAAATTGTGCAACCCTATGATTAACAACACTCCCCCACCCCCCACCCTTCCTCACCCCTTTGCTTCTACCCTCCCCCTCCTTGGATCCTCATACTCATTCTACAGCAATGGTTTTATGCAGTATTTGTCCTTGTAGGACTGAGTTAGTTCACTCAAATCTCTCCCAAGTTAGGTAGTAATTTACAAAATCTTTGCTCCTGCATGCTTTGTAGTATTCCATAGTATGAATGTACCACAACTTCTCAATCCATTCATTTGTGGTTTGACATCTGGGCTGTTTTCATGTTCTTGCGATGGTGAATAATGCTGCAATGAACGTTGGTGTACAAGGCTCCATTTGAGCCTCAGTTCTAATTTTCTTGGGCTATATTCCAAGCAATGGAATAGCTGGGTCATATAGAATTTCTATGTTCAGCTTTTTGAGGAAGCACCAAACTGCCTTACAGAGTGGTTGTACCATTTTACAATCCCACCAACAATGTATATCTAGCCACATCCTCTCCAACATTTATTATTTGCTGCTCTATTAAACTTTGCCATTGTCACTGGAGTGAGATGGTATTTCATTGTGGTTTTGATTTGCATCTCTCTTATTGCCAGTGATTTGAAGCATTTCTTCATGTGTCTGTTGGCCATCTGGATATCTTTTTCTGTGAAAAGTCTTTCCATATCTTTTCTCCATTTTATAAATGGCTTATCAGTCATTTTCTTGTGGAGGCCCAGGAGTATTCTATAAACTTTTGTTATGACACTTTTGTCTGAGATGATATTGCCAAACAGGGATTTAATCTTTAGAAGGTCCCATTCATCAGTTTTATCCTCTTCAGATTGTGTATTTTTTTAAAAAATTAATTTTATACTGGTTTACTTACAAAGTTTGTATACATTGTTTTTCATATTGGATCTTTCACCTTTCCTTTGCCCTCCCCTTCCTCCATCCTCTGTTTGTGTTTTATTGACTGTGCAAAGGCATTTGACTATGTGAATGAGACTATATTATAGTTAACATTGAGAAGACTAAGAACCCTAGAACGTTTAATTGTACTCTTGAAAAACCTGTACCTAGAAGGACATTGACAGAAAATTACCAGAAATACAAGGTGGGTTTGGAAGAGGTCATGGCACTAGAGACATTATTGCCAATGTCAGATAGATCTTGGCAGAAGGCAAAGAGTACCAGAGGAATGTCTATCTGTGTTTCATTGACTATGCAAAGCCGTTTTACTGTGTGAATCACAACACATTTTGGTTAACCTTGAGGAGAATGGGAATCCCAGAACATTTGATGGTGCTTTTGTGAAACCTATACTTGGACGAGGAAGCAGTAAACAGAATAGAGTAGGGAAACACTGCATGGTTCAAAATCAAGGAGGGAGTTCATCAGGGATGTGCCCTGTCTTCATACATTTTTCTATCTATATACAGAGCAGGTCATTCAGGAGGGTGGGTTTTATGAGGAGGAATGTGCTATCAGTATTGGTGGAAGACTCATCAACAATTTGTGTTATGCAGATGATGCAACCTTGCTTGCTGAAACTTAGTAGGAACTGAAGCACTTGCTGAAGAAGGTCAAGGACTGTAGTCTTCAATATGTATTGAAGCTCTACGTCAAGAAAACAAAGATTCTCACCACTGGACCAATTGGCAGCACCATGATGGATGGAGAAGAGATAGAGGGATAGAGGTTGTTAACAGTTATAGCACGGTACGCTCCACAATCAATACTCTTGGCACCAGTAGTTAGGAAATCAAAAGGCAAATTGCATTAGGTAAATCTGCTGTCAGGGACCCTTCCAGTGTACTGAAAAGCAACAATGTTAGTCTAGAGACTAAGGTGCACCTAAGACCAGGTCATGGTCTTTGCAAGTACTTGCTCTGCATCAGAGAGTGGGACAATAACTAAGGATGACAGAAGAAGAATCGATGCCTTTGAGTTGTGGTGCTGGAGAAGAGTCTTGAACCATGCACTGCTAAGAAAACAAAAGGTCTGTCTTAGAGAGGGTGAAACCAAGTTTCTTCTCAGAGGCTAGGATTTTGAAGTTTCATCTCACATACTTTGGGCATGTGGCCTGGAGGGACCAATCCTTGGAGAAGGACATCATGCTCAGAAGGGTAGAGGGACAGCAAAGGAGAGGAAGATTACAGATGGGATGAATTGATACAGTAACTAGGACAATTGGAGTATGTGTGCTGGAGTCAGTGAGACTGGCTCAGGACAGGACAAGCATCAGTACTGTTGTATATGGGATCACTATGAGTCGCAGGCCACTCAATGCCACATAACAACAACAGATGGAGAAGCTGTTGTTTGAACAGATCAAAGGAATATAGCATGGTTTAAAATTAATAAATGTGTGTATCAGGGATGTATCCTTTCTCCAAACCTATTCAGTCTGTATGCTTAGCAAATCACCCGAGAAGCCGAACTCTATGAAGAAGAATGCGACATCAAGATTGGAGGAAGACACATCAACAACCAGTATTATGCAGCATTTCAGAGATATTATATCTATTATTTGGAAAACAAGAGTCCTTTTGTCTGAGGTATTATAAGCTATTTCTATGACACCCTATGAGCCTATTGACACTTTGCCTGGTCATGCACCATCCTTACATCTCCTCCTAAAGTCCATTGTTGCAGTCACTCATCCAGGGACTTCATCTCTTTCTATGACCCTCCCTCCACCTTTCCAAGCATGATGTCCTTCTCCATGGACTAGCCCCTCCTGACAACGTGCCCAAAGTATGAGGTTTCATCATTCTTGCCTCTAAGGAGCACCTGGTTGCACTTCCTCTAAGGCTTGCTTGCTCTTTTGGCAGTGCATGGGATGTTCAGTACTCTTCTCCAACACCACAACTCAAAGGCATTGATTCTTCAGTTTTCCTTGTTTATTATCCAATTTTCAGTTGTATACAAAGCAATGGAAAATATCCTGGCTTAATTCAGATGTGCTTTTAGTCTTTAAATTGACATTCTTGCTCTTTCCACTTTATAGAGATCCTGCTGGACAATGCTTACAGCTGGTAAAAATATCAAGATTCCCCACTCCCATCCTCCCTCTCTGCTCAGAGGGGTGACTTTCCCCTCTGGTCCCCATGCTCCATCTACCTTTGTTCTGAACTAGTCATATGACCATGTGTGTTATTTCCATCTTCACTTCCATGGCGGTGAGAAGCTTGCAAGTTTTGATACTTGGGTGAGATAAAAATTTGCATTAGATTTCCATTTACCATGCTGCTTAAAGGGAACTCTGGTGGAAAGAAACGGTGCTGCATTCCCAAACGCACACAGTTCAAACCCACCAGTTGTTCCGTGGGAGAAAGTTGAGCCATCTCCTGTGCAATTTGCTGCCTCTGAAAACCCGCTCGAGGGTCATCTATGAGTCAATTCTGACTCAATAGCATGTAACAAGAAGAAGAATTGAGTTTTAAATTTTAAAACTTAATTATTGTTGGATTGTCTCAGTGACTACCACAATGGACTTGAACATGACAGAGATGATAAGGATGGCACCGGAGAGGGCCAGGTTCAGATCTGTTGTTCATAGGATCTCTATGAATTTTTGGTAACTGGATGATACCTCACAACAATGACATGTTTTTAAAGGGTGAACTATACAGTGTGAGAATTATATCTCAAAATTATGTATATGGCCCCTATTCTGATGGAACGCATTATTAAGATATTCATCTTGAAGTCAAGCAGCAAGACATACCTTAATAAAGGTGGTCATCCCACAGCAGAATTGTGGGTTTTATTTCTGGACTAGAGAGCCTGGGGCCTGGTTGCTTTCTGCCAAGTTATCTTATGCCCTGAGAGTTGAGGTCAGAATCAACTCAACAGCTGCTAAGTGGATTTCCCCATATCAGCTCTGTGGCTCTGCAGGGTTAAAAGGGCATCCCTGACCTTATTACCTTATTCCACAGGCCCGAGACACTCTGATGCTGGCTGACAAGCCCCTTTCGCTGGTGCTAGAGGAAGATGGTACAACTGTAGAGACGGAAGAGTATTTCCAGGCCCTGCCAGAGGACACTGTTTTCATGGTACTACAGAAGGGGCAGAAGTGGTGGTCGCCATCAGAGCAGGTAAGGGCCTACCTGAGGGGGAGCAGTTGGACACCTGGCAGAAAGCCTTGGAAGGTAGCCAACCACAGTCTTGTCTTGATGCAGGGGGCTAGGTACAAACTCTCCCTCTCCCAGAAGCCTGCTAAGAAGATTGATGTGGCCTGTGTGACTTTCAACTTGTATAAGACCAACCCACAGGACTTCATCGGGTGCTTGAACATGAAAGCCACCCTCTACGGCACATACTCCCTGTCCTATGACCTGCACTGCTGTGGGGCCAAACGTATCATGAAGTGAGTAGATTTGGGGTTACCTAGAGACCACATAGGTGTTCAACAAAGGAAGAGCCCCTGTCTGCTCACAACCATCTTTGCCTTCTCAGGAAAGGGTCAGCTTAGATGCTGAAATCAATTAGCATCTGTTTAAAACTTTAAAGTCTTAACTAAGTGCTTTGGATTGCATTCTTGTATGCCAAAGGGGCTACATGTATTTCTCTTGGTGGAATCTGGTTAGATTTAGTTAGTTTTTGCAAGTGTTAAAATGAATTTTTATTCCTAAGCCTATAAAAAAAAATCTAAATCTATTGCCACCTAGTGGGTTCTAACTCATGGTGATCCTCCATCAGCTTCCTGAGGGTGGTAAATCTTCATGGGAAGAGCCTGTGTATCATACTCCCTATAGAGCAACAAGTGGATTTGAATCACTTACAATTCATTTCTCAGCACAAGGCTTAACACACCATCACCAGAGTTCCTTTTTCTTTTTCACTGTTGCTTTTAGGTGCCACCAGGTCAACTACAACTTGATATTGACCCTGTGAATAACATATCTGAACCTTGCCTTATCCTCACAATCCCTGTCCTGCTCAAGCCCACTGTAGAAGTCACCATGTCCATTCATCTTGTTGAGGTCTTCCTCTCTAAGAACTGCTTTCTCCTGAATGCCCAAAGTAAATGAGAACAAGTGTCACTATCCTTGCCTGTAAGGAGACCCTGGTTGTACTTCCTTCAAGATAGATTTCTTTGTTGTTTTGGCAGTCCATTGAATACCCAGCACTCTTCCAATTAAAAGGCATCAATTTTTCATCTGTCATCCTTATTCATTCGCTAACTTTCAAATGCATAGGAAGCAACTGAAAATACCTTAGCTTGGATCATGTGCATTTTAGTCTTTAAAAGGACATCCCTGTTCTTTAGCACTTTGGAGAGGTCCTTGGCAGCAGATCTTCCCAATGCAACATATCTTTTCTTTACTACTGCTACATTGGTGTTGGTTGTGGGTCCAAGTAAAATGAAATTGTTGACAAATTCTGTGTTTTCACCATCTATTACGATGTTGTCTATTGGTCCAGTGGTGAGGATTTTTGTTTTCTTGATGCTGAGATATATTCCATCTTCTGCAACAAGTATTTCAAGTACGCTTCACTTTCAGCAAGCAAAGTTGTGTCAAGTGCATAAGGTGGGTTGCTGATGAGTATTCCATCAATCCTGATGCCATATTATTCTTCTATAGTCCTGTTTCTTGAATTATTTGCTCAGCATGCAGATTGAATAGGTATGGAGAAAGGATATAATGTTGATGCATATTGTGATTTGTAACCATGTAGTGTTTCTTTGTTCTGTTCAAATAATTGCTTCTTGGTCTGTGTATAAGTTTTCCAGAAGCACAACTGAGTGTTTTGGGATTCTTATTCTTCTCAGTGTTATCCACACAGCCAAACACCTTTTTTTTGGTAGTTAATAATATACAAGTAAATATCTTTCTGGCATTTTCTTCTTCTAGTCAAGATCCATCTGACATCAGCAATGAAATCCTTCCTGCCTTGGACTCTTCTAAATAGAAATTGAATTTCTGGAAGTTTCCTGTTAATTTCCCAGACATTTAAAAAATGGTATTCCGCAAGATTTTACTTGCATGTGATATTATTGATATTTGTTGCTAATTTCCACATTCTATTGGATTTTTAAAAAAAAAATTATGGGAATAAATATGGATCTCTTCCAGTTAGTCAGCCTGGTAGGTGTTTGCACAGACTGGTGAGCACATCTAGGGCTGTATCTGTTTGTTGAAACATCTCAATTGGTATTCTGTCAATCCCTGGGGCCTTATTTTTTTGCCAATGTCCTCAATGCACCTGAACTTCTTTCATTACCTTTGGCTTTTGTTCATATGCTACTTCCTGAAATGGCTCGATGTCCACTAATTCTTTTTACTAAGTGACTTTGAGTATTCCTTCTGTCTTCTTTGATGCTTCCTGCATCACTCAGGATTTTGACCCTAGTATCCTTCAATGTTTCAACTTGAGGATTGAATTTGTTTTTCAGATCTTCTGGCTTGAGAAATGCCTAGTGTGTTCTTCCCTATTAGTTTTCTAAGTCTTTGTAAATTTTGCTCAGTATTTTACTTTTTTCCTTCTTTAACTGCCTTCTATTAACATCTATTCTTTTATCTATTGTTTCAACAGTTTTTTTTTCTCTTGTTTTGGCCTTTCAAAGTTCTATCACAAGTTTGATTCTTTTCTGACATCTTTTTTAGAAAAAATATTTTTATTTTATTTTAGTGAAGGTTCACAAAGAAACTGGTTTTCATTGATTCTGACATCCAGTTTTGTCTTCCCTCCCCCTGGTCTTTTTAATGATCTTTTGCTTTCTTCCTGCATGATATTTTTGACATCATCCTATAATTCATCTGGTCTTTGGTCATTAGTTTTCAGTGCATCAAATCTGTTCTTGAGATGATTCTTAAATTCAGATGGGATAGACTCAAGGTTGTATTTTGGTTCTTGTGGAATTGTTTTCCTTTTCTTCACCTTCAATTTAAAACTGCACGTGAGAAGTTGATAGTCTATTCCACAGTCAGCCTTTGGTCTGTTGATATTGGGCTACTCCATTGACTGGCCAGTTCGATGTGTATAGTTGCCATTTGTGTGGGTTTTTAAAAAAGGTAATTGCAATTAACACATCAATAGTTGTACATAATTATATATTATCCAATCTCTAGACTAATTTCTGTCACCAAGTCTATATTTTCTGGTTCTTATTTGTTGATATTTTAAATTATTGAGCAAATACTACTATGGCAATGTTTTCCTAAATTTAACTGCTCCAGGAGATGTTTTTTTGGGTATTCTTACCCCACTGGGTGGTTTTAGCCACAGAGGCTGAAGTATTATACTTACTTAGTCCAAAGTCACAAAGCTAGGGAATGTCAGAGTATGCTCTTAGCTATTTTCTTCTGGAAATTTCTGTTCCTCTCTAGCCATTAAATCCCAAGTGACTTGGAAAGGCCTGCAATTCTAGAACAGTGTCATGAAGGGCAGTCGTTGTTACCATCGAGTTGGAACTGCCCATTGCTAACTCTCTGGTGGGTTTTCAGAGGCATTTAATTGCATGGAAGTAGTTTGCCCATCTTTCTCCCGTGGAGTAGCTGGTGGATTGAAACTGTGTGACTAGGGCATTGCAGGCAGCTTCTTGCTACTAGACCACCAAAGCGCATGTTTTCTACACCAGTCTGACTGGTCTAGGGAAATTTTGTTTTGTTTTTTTTTTAAATCTTATTAAATAGATTTGAGTTTCATATGAGGAAGTTGAAAGATTATAGACATCTATGTTATTTTGGGATTCTATGCCATGCCTATAGAACACATTCCATTTACTAAAAACAGGTCATATTTTTCCTCTTTGTGCTTCACTCTATAACAGAGAAAGCATTTTTTTCATCCTTCCACTTTAGTGGCATTCACATTTCATTGATGATGCATATTGCAAAAATTAAATGTATTTAAAGCTGGAAATAGGAGATGGAGACACTTCAGGGGACCTAGAAGGGCTATTCTTCATTATTTGACCCACTGTGTTCTCTTTCCACCCAGGGAAGCCCTTCGCTGGGCCCTCTTCAGCATGCAGGCCACAGGCCATGTGCTGCTTGGCACTTCCTGTTATATGCAGCAGCTCCTGGATGCTACAGAAGAAGTGCAGAACCCCAAGGGCAAGGCTTTGTCCCTCATCCCAACCTGTCTGAAGATACTGCAATGAAGGCTCAAGCCCATGGAGCCTATCCCAGATGAGAAATGGACTGGGGTCCTTGTGCTTAGCCTCAGAGCCCACAAGCCTAGCAGCTTAGCCACAGAGCTTCTCCCCTTGCTTCCCTCAGCCCACAGGACCATGGATGAGAAAGTCAGAGGAAGGGCTGGAAATCTGAGGTGGGCTAGCCAAAGGAGAACTGCAGGTTTCTGGTCTGTCCAGCTCCTTCCACACAGGGGTCTTAGCTGGTCACCAATAGTCTGTCTGAACATGCAAGTGATGTGAAGGGGTAGGAAGCCTGCCCCTTGGCCACCTGTTCTTACCGCTTACACTTCCAGCTCATCCCCTACCTTCAGTTTTCCCTGTTACTCCTATCTAGACTTGCAAGCCCGCTGTGAGCATGCAATAAACTGCTTTTGCCAATTTGTTTTTTCCTTTTGTTCTTTGGTAGTATTTGTGAGCTTCCAAATGTTGTAGTTATGTACCATCAAGTTGACTATGACTCACTCATAGCAACCCTATGATCAATGGCTCTGAACCTTGTGCCATTATCCCAAGCCAGACTCCCAATCTCTGACACATCTGCCTTCCACTGCCACAGTCACAGTGTCCATCCATGTCCTATAGGGTCTTCCTCTCCTGTGCTGACCCTTCTAAGCATGAGGTCCTTCTCCAAGGGCCAGTCCCTCCTGGAAACATGCCCAAAGTATGTCACACAGAGCTTAAAAATTCTTGCTTCCAAGGAATAAATTGGTTTATCATCTTCAGGACACACCTGTTTGTTCTTTTGACAGTCCATGGTATGTTCAATACTCTCCTCCAGCATCACAACTCAAAGGCATTGATTCTTCTTCTGACATCTTTAATCATTGTCCAATTGTCAGATGCATAGCAAGCAATTGAGAAGACCAGGGCCTGGGTCAGGCACATGTTAGTTTCTAGACTGACATGGTTGTTCTTTAGTATTCTGGAGAGGTCCTTTACAGCAGATTTCCCAAAAGCAACTTGCTTTTTCATTTCCTGACTGCTGGTGCCAAGAGTTGATTGTAAATTTGAGCAAGATTAAATTCTTAATAACTGCAATCTTTTCTCCATCTATCATGTTACTGCCTATTGGCCAAGTGGCGAGATCTTTGTTTTCTTGATGTTGAGATGCAATCCATATAAAAGGCTACAGTCCTTCCACTTTTACAGCAAACACTTCAAATTCTTATTAATTTTGACAAGCAAGGTTGTGTCATTTGCATGACACAGGTTGTTGATGAGTTTTTCTCCAATCCTGATGCCACACTCTTCTTCATAAAATTCAGCCTCCCAAATGAACGGTTCCTTATACAGATTGAAAAGGTATGGAGAAAAGATATATCTCTGATTTTGAACCATGCAGTGCTCCCTCACTTTGTTCAGACAATAGTTTCCTGATCTAGCTACAAGTTTCACATGAGCACAAAAAGTGTTCTAAGATTCCCATTCTTCTGAATGTTGTTGTTGTTTGCCTTTGAGTCGAGCATGACTCATAGTGACCCTAGGAAAAAAAGGCCTGAAGCCCCTCTACAACTATCAACATTTATCACAGTTCATAGAGTTTTCAGAAGCATGTCGTTTAGGAAGTGGATGCCATCCTGCTTCCAATTCTGTCATAGAATGTTATTGGTTGAGTCACCTGTGATGCGTAATGACCGTACATACAGCAGCTCTGAACCCTTCCCTGTCCTGAGTCAGTCTCACTAATTCTGACATACCAACTCCCATTGCTCCAGTCACTGTGTGAATCCATCTCATCCAGGGTCTTCTTCTCCTCCACTGTCCCTCCACCCTTCTGATCATGATGTCCTTCTCCAAGGACCGATCTCTCCTGGCCACATGCCCAAAGTAAGTGAGGTAGAGCTTTAAAAATCCTAGCTTCCAAGTAGAGACTTGGTTCCATTCTCCCCAAGACAGACCTATTTGTTTTCCTGGCAGGCCATGGTATGTTCAAGATTCTTCTCCAGCACCACAACTCGAAGACATCAATTCTTCTTCCGTCATCCTTAGTCATTGTCCAACTCTTTGAAGCATAACAAGTAATTAAGAAGACCATGGCCTGGATCAGGTGCATCTTTGTATCTAGACTGACATCATTACTCTTCAACACTCTGAAGAGATTCATGACAGCAGATTTTCTCAATGCAATTTGTCTTTTAATTTACTTACTGCTGGTGCCAAGAGTGTTGACTGTGGATCCGAGCAAGCTGTAATTGCTAAAAACCCCAATCTCTTCTCCATCAATTATGGTGTTGCCAATTGGCCCACTGGTGAGAATTTTTGTCTTCTTGATGTTGAGCTTCAATCCATATTGAAGACTACAGTCCTTGACCTTTGCAGCAAGTGCTTCAGGTCTTCTTCAATTTCAGCAAGCAAGGTTGTGTTATCTGCATATCGTAGATTGTTAATGAGTCTTCCTCCAATCTTGATGCCACATTCCTCCTCATAAAGCCCTGCCTCCCGAATGATCTGTTCTGCAAACAGATTGAAAAAGGTACGGAGATGGGATGCATCCCTGAAACATCCTTCACTTATTTTAAACCATGCAGTGTTTTCTTGCTCTGTTTTGACACAGTCAAATGCATTTGCATAGTTGACAAAACACAAATAGTTATCCTTCTGTTACTCTCTACTTTCAGTCATGAACCATCTAACATCAGCAATGGTAAATCGCTAAACCCTTCCTGTATTTCTAGCAGTTCTCTGTTGATGTATTGTGATAGTTGTTTCTGGATAATCTTCAGCAAGCTTTTGCCTGCAGTGGAATCCTATTGATAGGGTCTGTCTAGAAGGTTGTAAAGGCTTGAGAGAAAAGAGAACTCTATTATCAAATAACTCACCATAAAATGGGGTTTTAAAACAAGTTGCTGTTGGGTTCAGTTTCTCGTTTGCTGACCCTCATCTTTCCCCTGCATGATGTCTTTTCTCAAGCATTGGAACCCTCTGACAACATGGTCAAGGGATGGAGGATAGAGTTGTTCCATCTTTGCCTCCTAGGAACACCCTGGTTGCACTTCCTCCAAGATAGACTTACTTGATGCTGGCTTCGGAAGCATATATACTAAAATCAGAACAATACAGAAAAGATTAGCTTAAGCCCTGTGCATGGATGACATACAAATTTGTGAAGTTTTAAATATTTTTTTCCAGGCTTCATTCTAGTTTATTACTTTTTTATAAAATTAATTTCAATGAACACTTACAGAGATTTTGGATTTCCATTCATTCATTGTTGCACTTTTCTCCCTGCCTACCCCTCCCCCCGAGTTTGCTCTTCTCCTTGAAAAGCAAAAGAAAAACTCCTTCATTGATATATAATCCTCCTGCACCCGCCACCCCCACCCAAGTATACTCCACTCTGCAATCCGCATTTCGAACTCTTATGATAATCATAATGCCCTAAAATATATTACTTTTAAACTGTTCTCTCCCTCATCTGTTTCAGTGCAGTATACATAGTTTATCCAGTTTTTCTCAGTCTTACCCCAACCCTCATTCTACAATAGTGGCCTTATGCAATGTTTGTCCTTTTGTGACTGAGATACTTCACTCAGCATAATCTCCTCCAGGGTCACCCATTTTGAATAATATTGCATGAGTTCCTTGCTTTTTAATGCAGTGTAATATTCCATTGTGTGAATATACCACAGCTTCTCTATCCATTAGTTTGTTGATAGGCACTTAGGTTGTTTCCAACTCCTTGTTATTATGAACAAAGCTGTAATAAACATGGGTGTGCATATATCTGCTTGGATGTCAGTTATGGTCTCTTTGGGGTATTTTTATACTGAGAAATTCTCTATAGTGGTTGAAATTACTTCTGTCTTTAATTTTATTTAGTAGGAAAAGCACACAGGGGCTTTACTATTTCCAACATGGGGCAGGTCTTGGAGTGCCTGCCGGAGGTAGGCACAGGCCTGTGAGTGGGAGCAGCTCTACTTGTAGGTGATGAGAGGGTTTCCCAGGACCACAGAGACTGAGTCCCCAGGCAGGAACAGCTTGAGATGGAGTGGTCCTTACTGACAGGCGTGGACTTCTCCTTGCCCTTGCCACTCTGGGGATCTTGACCCACAGCTCCTTCACATTCTCCAGCACCGTGTTGCAATGCCTGGTGAAGGCTTTCATGTGGCCCAGGCCCTTCTTGTTGTTGGACAGGTGATGACACTTGCGTTTTGTTGTTGACCAATGTGGGAGTCCTCTTCTTCCTGCTCCCGCAGCTTCTCTGGCATCATCTTGCTCTTGGGCTTTTTGAGGAGGCTCATGAGGGAGGAGGCGTCACTGGGCAAGGTCGCCTCGGATAACAGCAGAAGGAGGCGTCTTCCAGGTCAGACCCAGGGAATCCCAGCCAGAGAGGGAGGGAGGAGGCGTCACTGGGCAAGGTCGCCTCAGATAACAGCAGAAGGAGGCATCTTCCAGGTACACAGAAAGACCAGCGGGCCCTCAGGCAGAAAGGAAAACATAATCTACACAAGAGTTCTACAGGACACGTCACCTTCCCTTGGAGACAGTACAACTAAATTTAAGAGACACTGGTCAAAAGAAAAATGTCAGCAGTCG